ATATGCACTCCCTGCCTGTGAATAGCCGGTAATGCTGGGAATCGTTGGCCCTTTTCGCAAATACGGCTTATCAACTTGCATCTTTTTCCCCAATGAATTTTGAGCAGTAATTGCATTTCTAATTATCATTATTGTATCATTAGAAACTAACAAAAAAAACCCAGAATTTAAATTATGGCAATGGGAATTATCAGAGTTTACATTTTCCCACTAGCTGAATTTAATTGATTTGTTTGCAGTTTCAGTTTATGTTGAGTTTTATATAAATAATTTAAATAATTTAATTGTTAACTAAGTTAGACTGGAATATATTGAAACACCTCTCACCTCAGCTTAATTTTCAATCTAAAATTATTATCATCACTCAATTAAATGGTGAATAACTTCTGTGCCAACCATCATTAAGAAACTTCGATTTCTTCCACATTGATTTCTCTCAGTGAACTAAATTGACTTGCATGCAGTTGTATCTATAAATGAATTAACTAAAATCATTATACGTGTAAACTGAATTGAAATGGAAAGCGTTGAAATACATTTACTCAGAATAATGTATTTAAATTATTTGTTTTAATCAAAGAACTATCAACAATGAATCAAATGTTAGGCTCCATTTCTATGGCATTCCACAGGCATTACCCAAAACTACTGTTCTGATTTGCATTGGCATGCGACAGAAGTTTGTCATCCATCGAATATTACTCATACGACAGCATCATAAACCAGGCGTTACACATTGGGCATATTTGGCCATATACATTGACAGGCGCCGCACACGCCCGGGCAACTGGTAAATAGATTCCACATGCATGCCAAATAGCCACATTAAGTTCACACAAACAAAAAAAAAACCCCAAATTGATTGGAGGCCGCTGTGGAGGCGATACAGGCCCCCCACCCACCACCACCGCAAGTGACGCTCGTCGGGCGACCCCAAAAGCAAGCAGTACAATAAAATTTAAAGTAAAGAGAGCGAAAAAAAAAAAAACGGAAATTACCAAATGGAAACTTTACGCCCGCGCCACGACAATAGTTTAAAAATAGATTGGCCCAATCATACGACGAAAATGCTGAGCGCGGAGTCGCCTCCACGGGCGACGTCTCCATGAGTAACAGCCGCTCAAAACGTTGTGTAGATTGATCTTGTTTTGGCATGGTGAAATTTGACTCGACTATTTGCGGCGGTATCCGCGTTCTCTGTCCGTCTCAATGCGTCCATCTCGCTCGCGTGCAACGGCGTGCAAAAAATTTATGAATGAACCTCCACAAGGCTGTCTCTCTGTGTGTGTGTGTGTGTGTGTGCGTGTGTGTGTGCGTGTATCTATGAGAGCGTGAGAGAGAGCTTGACTGAGCCGGCTGTATGCCAGACACCGGCGCGTATGAGTAATATCTCAATTCTTGTGAAATTGAACGGAAATAACTAAAATGTTCGAACGTCTGTGACGTCGACAACACTGATTACCTTGCTCTCTCTCTCTCTCTCTCTCTCTGTCTCTCTGTATATCTCTCTCTTTCTCTTTCGCACTCGTAGGGCGTGTGTGTGTGTGTGTGACCTAACATTGTTAACCTACGATAGACTAGTCACGCAGAGGCAGCAGCTTGTGACAATGATTAATACTCGCACACCCACCGTCTGGCGCCTTTTTCTTTCTGTTGTTATTGTTTTATTTATTTTTTTGTATAAATCGGAAGTGATATGGCATAAATACTCTAGGTACCCTTCTATATATATATATATATACATATATATATATATATATATGCATGTATATATATGTGTAGTGAAAGTTCGCTGGGGGGGTTGATCATAAACGATGCATGCCGGCAAAGTGCCGGCTTATCAACAATTTGCTATAATTTTTATGTTAGTTTGTCTTTTGTAGCTGATCGTTCGTCACTGTCACTTTGAGTGTCTGTGGCTCTGTGTGTGCGTCTGTGTGTGTGTGTGTATGTGTGTCATTCGCAAGCGATAAAAGGTAACGTTGTTGTTCAACAACAACAACAGCAAAGAAACGAAATCAATGTCGTGGTCAATGCGCACTCGCGAAGAAATCAGAAGAGAGCCTCAGTCGGAGTCAAAGTCACGCACACATATAAAATGCACACGTAAGTGTTAGATAGGCAGGTGTTAGTCTGCACACACACAAACACAAACACTCACTGAGAGCGAGAGACGGAGAGAGTGAGAACTAATTTGTAGCGGTAAATATTAAGCAGCCATTTCAACGAATCCAGCAATGCGCTACTCTTCAATATGAATTAAGTAACTATTGTGTTGTATTTGGCATGTCGCATTGCGATATCGATGTGCTCGTTTGTACGATTATCGACTTTCAATTTGTGTGGGTCGATTTTATTTGAATATTAATTAATGAACTAATATGGACATTGCCGCATGCCGCCGCATCACGATATCGATATGCCTGACTGGGTGGCTTACCCACATACCATATGTGGCCTAGCGCAAGACACAGTTATTCATTGTTTTCGCTCAGCTGTTAACTGTTCGGCTACTGTCGTCGATTCGCCGACACTGCTCGGGCTCGGGTTCGGGCTCATCAGGTTTGAGTGTTTCTCGTATGTGTATGTTGTCTGTGTGTGTATGTATGAACAGCTGTTCAGCTGGAGAGTTTGGAGTTTGAGAAATATGCACATTCTTATGAAGGTTACGGGGCTGTTTGGCGGGGGAGTAGGTGAGTGGGTGATGGTCGCTCTCTCCATAAAAGTTTTGCACACTCATTTCATCAATATTGTCATCACCAGAGCAACAACAACAACAACAACAACAACAATAACAATATGATTATCGTTAGCCGTTTGCTTGCGACTAATGTTAATACAGGCAAACTGACACTGCTCACACACACACACACACAGCACACGGCAGTCGATTCACTCAGCGTACACACACACACACACACACACACACACACGCACACATGCACATACGAGCAGAGGCGGTCGCGAATCTGCGCACGAAGAGACATAGTACAAATATGACTTCTGCAGCTAAGGTGGCTCCTCGACGTACTCCTCATTAGTACGCTCATAATAACTGAAGAGTTCAGTTCGCGTCTGCCTGCTTTTGGTTCTGCTGTTGTTGTTGCTGCTGCTGCTGCTGCTAGTCTGCTCTGTCGCTGTCGCTGTCGCTGTCGCTGTTCTGCTCAACTCAGTTCTGCTCTGCTCTGCTTTTGGCGCTGCGGCAGACTGTGTTACCTGTGCTACTCTCTGCTGCGAAAGCAAAAAGCTGGCGAATACATATGTTTGTGTGTAGCGACAGCGCCGCTCGTAAAGCAACGAATTCGATCGCCAGCCACTCAAATCAAATCAAAACAGGCAGCCAAACGCATCGCGTCGACAGTTTTCCAATATTATATCTCCAAGATATCTCCGGCGTTCGATATACGATTTGTTATTATTTTGTTTTTTTTTTTTCTGGACAATAGTTTTTTTTTTAAGTGCATTTAACTCGCTAGATTGGCACGTGCTATTGTTGCTCCACAATTGAGAAGTGTTTTAATTGAAAAAAAAAGGAAAAAAAGTGCTGAAAGCCGTAAAGGAAAGGAGGAGGCGCTGACGCAGCCAATTTCCCAGCGCAATTGGCACAGGACTCATTGGAAATTTATGTGTAAATGGTGGGTATTTATTTCACTTTTGAACTATTTCACAAATCGCCTGCCTTATCGAACAGTCATTGTTATTATTGTTGTTGGTTGTTGTTGTTTTTATTATTGTGCACTTTTTTCATAGCGAACAGTAGAAAAGCGGTGCGTGTCCAACCTACTGATAAGTGAGACTACCCGTCACCCACTCTCCACTGCCACAGTATGCACGCCTCTGATGAAATTCAGCAAAAACACGCTGACACTGACACTGACACTGACAGCAAAAGGGATTACTAGCGCTAACTTGGCCAACTTAAGTGGGTAGTGTTTGATTTCAGATTACCAGCAAACAAAGAGTTCTCTCTCTAGTTCTTATATACACACATGCAGATATATTTCCACACAGCCTTCAGCTTTTGTCAGCCAAACATTAGCATTAATCCGAGTAGCTGGCAACCCTGACCTATATTTGCCCATATTGCTATTCCCCAAGTTGCTTAGAAGCTGAATGCAATCCACATTTGTCCCACAAGCAATACAATACATTGATCTTAAGTATTTTCCAGACAAAAGCATTGCCTTTTTTTTATCAGTGCACAGTGCAGGCAACAAACAAATACTTTACGCAGCTCGACCATGCGATGCCCTGTAAATGTCAAGTATGAAATTCACTTGTTGTTGTTTTTTCAAAACTATATTCAAATATTTGGGTGCATTAAGCTTGAGAACTATAAAGTTGACTACTGGGCATATACCCTGTAGTGCAAGTTGGGGATAAAGTGTGTGTACGTCTGGGCCAAGTTGATACAAGCCCTTGGCTACCAAAACATTTTCAATTCAAATCAAAAGCCAAAAGCCAAAAGCGAAACATGTGAAATTAATTTACACGTTCGGGGCGGGCGGTTGGCTGTTTTTTAGTTTTTATTTTCTTTATATTTTGCCTTTTGCTCTCGCCCCGCTTCTGTCTGTTGTGCTGCTGAAAAGGCCATAGAGGCGGAGGAGGTTGGTGTTTGGGTTGTTTGGCAACAGCAACAGCAACGGCAACAGCAACAGCAACGGCAACAGCAACAAGTCAGAGCGTGCGCGCGATGCGTCAGCAACGACGTCGGCAATTTGGCATGGACAAGGTTCGGACCAGCGAGATAGAGAGAGTGCGAGAGAGTGAGAGAGAGAGAGAGAGAGAAAGAGAGGAAGAGAGAGAGAGGGAGAGAGAGAGAGGGAGATAGAGAAAGACAAGACGTGAGACAAGAGAAACGTCCGATTGACTCCGTCTTCGACTTCGTCTTCGACTTCGTCTTCGAATTCGACGTTGGCTTTGACTCGAACCGCTGACGAATTTCACAAAAGTGCGCAAGTCGGACTCCGGCCAAGTTCGTTGACTTTGTAGCGCAGTGTATGCTGAGATTCGCATATGCTCCGGTGATTCAGCCAAATTAAGACTTTAATTTTAAATAATTATGTCAGCCGACACACAACTGCAACAACAACAAAACGATAACGATAACAACAAGCGCACGTTTTGCCCAAATCATATCGCACCTGCTGTACCCACACACACACACACACGCACACACACACACACACACACACACACACACACACACACACACACGCACGCAGTCATTAAACTTGTATTGTATTGTGACTTGAGTAACGGGAATCCACCCTGCTCCCATTGACAGACGACAACTGTTGGCCCGCCCACAGCCAGCAGCAACAACACCAAAACGGCCAACACAACGAAAACGACAACAACGACGACGACGGAGGCAAAGCCGCAGTTGCCGCGCAGCGCCCGAAGCCGTCCCCAGACAGCGGCAGCCCTGCTGATGCTCGCCGCTCTAATGTGCGCCGTCAGCGGTGGCATTGCTGCACCTGCACCTGCACCTGCACCCGCCCAGCTCCCTGCCACACTCGGCGACCCGCTCGCCTCAACGAGCGTCGTCATTCATCCAACGGTAAATCGGACGCGTCTCCAGAAGCGTCATTACAACGGTGGCAGCATCAAGGCGCGCTTCTACAGCGAACTGAAGCGCACCGAGCTCTACTGGAGCAATGCCTGCGGTGGCAACTGGACGGGTCCCGCCTCGGACACCAGCGTGTTGCGGCCACACAATCGTTGTGCCCAGCACAAGAAGGTGAGCACTCGCCCAGCATATCCCTGCCAGAGACAAAAACAAACAAAAATAATTCCAATTCAAATTCATTCGATTTTCATAATCATATTATTATTAATCAATTGCATTTTTTTTTGTTTTTGTTTTTGTTTTTGTTTCTCTTGTTTTTTTTTAATTGCTTGCATGCCGCGTAACATAAACAATTCGCATTTGTGGCATGAGATGGCGATATTTAAAAGAGCGAATAGCCGAAAATAGAAATGCTTTTGATATGTTGATAAAAGGGAATTTGTGGAAACTAATTGGTGTTGTTCTTGTTGTCTTTGCAGCTGCTTCGCCAGCTACAGAAAAAGGCGCGCAGCGAGCTGAATGAGCTGCGGACGAACAACAAACAGCGGCAACAGGTCAACTCGCTGAAGGCACAGGTCACATCCTCCAACCAGGCCATTGACATATCCAAGTACCGCATGTGGAGTGTGCACAGCAGCAAATACGAGTTCCTGCCCCGGCTCAATACCACCGAGCATCAAGTAAGTATACATATATACCATATATATATATATATATATAGGTAGCAAACTTAGAGCCATAAAGTCGATTAGAGCTTGAAACTGGGTCACATGAGGACCCATTTCACCGTTCGTCGTTGCGTAGGTGCAAAATTGAAAAGTGACACAGCGTCACAAGGCGAGACGGTCATATGAGTTTGGTCATTGGATTGCCAATAGATATTTGTATGTATGATTGCGAGGGCAGTTACAACATTCCCAACGACTTTCGCGTAAAAACTCAGAGAGAGAGAAAAATTACTATTAATAAATGCCACAAATTAGATGCGCAAATTAATGCCGCACGCGACTTTGTGGCTCTTGATAAAGAATCAAAAAAAAAGAAAGAGAGAGAAAAAACTGTCAAAATGCTAAATATGCCCACTAAATGGCTAATTTGTTGTGAAAACAAATCAGCTCAATTCGCGTGGCCAAACAAACAAACACGGCCAAGAATAAACAACGGGACACGTGCCACTCATCGACTCGAAGTGTGTGCACATATATACATATATATATATATATATCAATATATATTTGTTTTTGAGGTGAGCTTCAATCTGCCCAACATACTCAGTTGATGAGCTCCAAATCCAAACTTTAAACATCGAAAGAACGCGAATCACGCGAATCACGCGATATAAGCGAAGTTTATTGAAAATTCTATTGCTGACAAATGAACGCTGGCAAAGTGGCAAATAGATAAGACTGTCAGCATTATGAATAATACATTGGGCTGCCCAGTTAGTGTGTCATTTGGGGAGCAGGCAGCGATTGCCTGCGGGCTTATCTGCAATACGTATCCGCAATGAGCAACCGGCAGTATCTAGATTTTAAGCTTGTCAAACATCACGAGTTAAATTTAATTGCCCGTCGACTACAACCTCAGGAAAATATATAGTTTGCCAGCAAAATTCAAAATAATGCACAACTTTTCAAACAAATATTTGCATAATGCGCTACACAAAATAGATGTATATATATATATATATATATATGTGTGTGTATATGTATAAATTGATGATTATGCTAATTTGAGAGATATAATCATTTTGGACCTGGCTTGCATTTATGAACCCAAATGCGAAAACTTGGACTTTACTTGGCTAAACTTGGCTTTAACTCAACTGTCCCTCGACTATGGCACTTGACAAAAGCCTCAACTCATCATTATAAACAGAAGCGCCCAAAAGACGCCGCTTAACTCTCTCTTTGCTCACTCTCTCTCTCTCTCTCTCTCTCTGTCTCTCTGTCGGACTGTGTATGTTTGTCTCCGTCTCAGTTGAGCTTTGCTGCTGGTGTTGGCTAATTGCCATAGGTGATGATGCTGTGGCTTTTGCTATGTTCTATACTTAGACGGCCAACCTCATCATCATCATCATCATCATCACCAGCCTCATTATCGAGCAACTCTGTGTGTGTGTGTGTGTGTGTGTGTGTGTAACTGCTTAATAATGGCATAACACAAGGTGCGGGGCGGCTTGCGTTAAATTTCTCATTGGCGTCACTGGAGGAAGACGCGCATAGGAAAAAAACCCAAAAAGTGTTGGCAATAGCAAAATAGTTGAGCAAAGCAAAGACGTTAATTGTTGACATGCTAACCGATTAAAATGATGCACTCATACCCAAGTACACACACACACATGATGTATGTATGTATGTATGTGTTACTGTTATTCTTGCTATTAACGATGACAGTTCCATTAAGGAGAAGTGTGACAGCATATCGAAGTTATTTATGGACTCTGGGCTCTAGAGTCTAGACTCTATAACAAATATAAATAGAAAAACCACTAAATATATCAACAACAACAACAACAACAGCAGCAGCAACAATCGCAAGAAGTACGACTCAAAGGCATAAGGCATTTTATCTAAGGAGTTGCAGCTCGTACGGCCTTTTGACGTCACAGCAGAGTTGAAGCAACGCGCAAAGCAAAGCAAATCATTTCACACTTATTTAAAGCTAATAGGCACCAGCGGTGGTGCTGGTGTCGACGTGGGGGAGGGGAGTGCGAAGTTGATATGCTAAAGCAATCTGAGCGCGCGCAAATTGTAAACGACACACACACACACACACATACGCGGAGAGAGAGAGCGAGAGAGAGAGAGAGAGAGACACGCTTACGCACACGCACACACAGAGGCAGAACGATAGAGAGATACGAGCGATACGAAGCGCGCGCGCGCGAATGAATCATGCGAATGAGCGAGCCGTGGATTCCCCCAAGCGACGGCATGAATGAAACGAGCGTCGATAGGCGAAAAAGATGACGATGACGATGACGACCGACTAAGCGACCGACCGACCGACAAGCAAATAACAACAGCAAGAACAACAACAACAGAAGAGACGACCGACGACCGACGAGCGACGAACGACGAACGACCGACTTCATAAGCACGACGCGAAATGCGAAATACTTTGCGAAACCGAAAGCACAATTAGGCAAACGGTCAGGCGACTGCTGAGCGGTGAATGGTGCGGTGTGAGGGGGGTGCGGGAATTCACTATACGGCGAATTGGCGTTCGCTTTTCACTTTCAGGCGACGTGCCGTATGATTGATATTTGATTATTAATAAGCTACGTGCGACGCGACAGAGTTCACTCAACTTGCGCATATATTGTAATTATGATGGGTGGAGGGGGGAGGGGGAGCGTATGGGCGCGTGTGGGTGAGGTGGGTTAGCTGTTGCTAACCGAAGCTAGCAAGTTTCTTGCACACTAATTGTTTACAGTTAGCTGCTAAAGGAATAGTTTTATGCCTGGCAAATCGATCTAGAAACCAAACCACAGCACTTAAGACGACATATGAAAAAACAGTAAGGATTTTGATTAGTTTCAACTTTTATTTAGCAATTTGCCCGAATTTGAAAAGATGGAAATGTATTTATTTATTTAAGGAGCAGGCTCTCTTCTTCTTCTTCTTCTACTTCTTCTTCTTCTTCTGCAACTAATGCAACAAATGTGCGATTTGTTTTTGTGTTTTACTTACAGCTGGCATTGCGTCGCGTCCACAACGACTTGCAATTCTATGTGGCCGCCTTCAGCTATCTGCGCCACGCCCAGCTGCACTGGGATTACGAGAATATACAGAAGCAGAGCGTTCTCTCCTCGGAACTGCAACGTCTGCGGGCGAGTGCACGTTCCGTGCTGTGCCTCGTCGAGGAGGCCATCAATGGCACCAGTCGGCTATATGCGCCCATCCGGAAGAATCAGCGGCAGAAGATGGCCGCGCCGGAGCGCATCAAGACGGTGCCGCTGCATCTGATGGAGAAGCGATTGCATCAGTTCCAGACACCGCTGGTGGCTCTGCATCGACTGGCGGTGTTGGTGGCGAACAATGAGTCGGCGGCGCAGCCAACGAAACCGTTTGAGCTGGATGCGCTCTTCCTCAAATACCACTACATGAAGTATTTGAAGCACATAACGCAGCTGCTCGCGAAGCAGCGCAAAAGGAACTGCACGAGTCGTCCAGGAGCGGTCGCACCACGGCCCAAATTGCAGAAGAAGCAACGGCCAAGTGCGTAGCTGCTGCTCCGAGTCTAATTCTCATGACAAAGGACACGCTTAGCCAAACAACAACAACAACAACACCAACAACAAGAAGAAGAACCGGCTTTGTTGTCACGTTAATCTTAAACTTAATTTATTATTATTTCGATAGTGGAAAGAACAAACCCCCTCTCAACGATAGCTATGAATGACATAACGAATCCAAATCCGAATCCGAATGCCAAGTTCGAAACGCAATCGAACATGTCCAGCAACTCTAGCCTAGAAACTAATCCGATGTTCATATCGATTATTTATTATTCATACAAATAATTAGCTATTCTCACCATTTTGCGAGTAGATATTTACATTAACATTTACATAACATTTACATTAACATTAACATTTACATTAACATTTACATTTACATACATTCGTCTTCTTCTTTGTTTGCTAGTCTAAGGCCTCACCGTATTATTTATTTGCAAAACATTCCCATTCACTTATGCTTAAATTCGCACATCCAATAGATCCTAAGATCCTCAGATCCTAAGTGAATGTAATCGCTATAGAAGCACGACTTTTGCCTTGTATTACAATGCTGTGATAATAGTTGATAAACGACGCCCATCCAATAACGCGTACGTACTCTCGTCTAAGTTGGAAGCAAGTATCTCGACCAGTTGCTATGAACATACAAATACACACACACACACACACACACACGCACACATATATATACAGACACACACACATGCATTTAGCCATAAGTCGTTTGTATTTATCTGGTATTTCAGATGTATTTTGTACTTGTATTTTTTTTTGAAACATGTTTTGTTTTTGAGAACGATTTTTTAATCAGTATATATAAATATATATATGTTAGTACAAACTGAAATCATTGAGTTTTCATTCTATTTAACAGAAGAAGTAAGTATAAGAGAACAAGCGTAATAAATCTGTTGATGATTAAAGATAGATAAAGAGGGGAAACGAGACAGTGTGAGAGAGAGAGAGAGAGCAAGATCGATTTTCCAATCGATTCAATGGCTTCTATTTATACTCGCCTCTTTGGCTCTTTGGCGAAATATGAATCATTCAAACGTTACGAATAGTATTTTCTGAGTACTTAAATCATTTGAAATAATTCATCGATTTTCAACACGAATTGGGAATGTTCGTTGTAATGTTGCCAAGTGATTCATTTGAAAATGTTTACATTTGAATGGAGCGCCGTGTGTGGTCCTTTAGTGTGTAGCGCCATATCAATTACACAGTGACTCGAAATCGGAATATATAGCGCCATATCAATTACAGCGACTCGATATCCATTCCCACAGTCCGAGAGGGCAGCTGCATTGTGCATACGCAGCGTACGCCCGATTGCAATGCGATCTCAGGTTGATTATGCCACTCAAACAAAATCAGACATCAGCAAGCCGAAGAAGCACAGCAACTGGGCATGCCAGCTCGAGAGCTACCCTCTACACAGCGTCATCGCAGTGGCAATAAAGGAGAGTTTACTTCGATTCGAGTACTAAGTAATATTATGGCTTTTTATTTATTACAATTAATCACCAATAAATAAGCTGTAAGTAAATATACTTGCCCAACTAATATGCCCAGTGCCAAAAGACACACGAACAGGGTATGCATGCGATAAAGGCCGAAACAATCTTATTTCGTATTGCCGGCGACTGTTTTTAATTGCAGCTAGAAGTAAATTACGCGGCATTTATAGACTTGTATAAATATTTTATGAGCCATATAATAATTCCTCAGTTGCATTGCTCTGAGCTCTGTTTACTGTTGCCAGTTCTTGTTGTTGTTGTTGTTGCTGCTGCTGCTGCAGTTGGGTTCCATCTCGATCATTTTAACGACATGAACACAGCGACAATTTTCTGCTTGTGCTTGTGTGTGTGTGTGTGTGTCTGTGTGTGTGTGTGTGTGTTTTTGGTGTTGCTACGGCATATTTGTTGTTTTCTTTTTGGGAGCGCTGATTCTTTTGGGCTTATCGCAGAAGAGGAATCTACGCACACCCTGGACTTGGACCCGACACGGGGTCCACGGTGCACGGTGAACGGTGAACGGTGAACGGTGAACGGTGCACGGTGCACGGCTCATGGTCCATGGTCGATGGTCGATGGTCGATGGTCGCTGGTCGACGGTGTACGGCGTCTTCAGTCTTCAGTTTCGATGTGCTCCGATGTGCTCAGGGCTTCCCTTTGTGTGTTACTAATGTCTTTCACCTCATTTGAGTGTGCGTGTGTGTGTGTGTGTGCGTGTGTGTGTGCGTGTGTGTGTGAGTTTGTCGCGGTTTCCACCTATTGCTCTGCGCCTCGCTCGCTTATCGCACACAATCAGCAATTGTCATTAATTTCGGACGCTGTGTACGTGCTCCGATTTGTCTCTTGGATTCTCAGTGACTGATTCAACAATTTAATATGCAGCAGCGGCAGCGTATGCAGCGAGCAGCGGAGTCGGGTATGGAGTCGGGCCGAGGGGCGATCATCTCAGAGCCCCTGGGACAACAGTAAAGATGCTTATCGTTTTGATTTTATTGTGGGCCCCGATGCAGCCTCTTACATATCCATCCATCCCCTCTGCTACTCCCCTCCAGCGGCAGTTCTCGTCGAGTCGAGAGGCATGCAACTATGCGGCCGGCGCACACCATTCACTAAATTCATTGTCGCACAGATTTAGCTGCCACCCCCTGCCCCTATGATACACCTATAATGATCAGCACACTCACTCTAATATTCTCTCTCCCTTTCTCTCTCTCTCTGTGTCTCTCTCTCATCAACCCTTTGCTGAAGCGCCGTTTTAATGGACTTTCCAGCAAGTGCACGTAGCGCTCATCTATCTTAAGTTTTGATAGGTTTTTACGAGCGTATTCAAGCGTTGGCCTTTATTAGATTGAAAATTATGTCTTTCTATGAGAAATGTCTAAATTGTTGTCTCCGCTTTCAGTTGGTTTTTAGGCTCGTTTTTGTATTTTTGTATTTTTGTTTTTTGTTTTTTTTTTTGGTTTTTGGTTTTTTTTCCTTTCTGAAACCTTTTTGCCCTGTGTGTTCCTCAATGAACTTACGCCTGGGTCTTGGACTCTGACTGGAACTGATTTAATCTAAATGTTTATTTGGTTTCTTTTTTAGTTTATATATACATATATATATATATTTTTTGGTTTTTTATTTGTTGCTTCTTCTGTTGCTGTTTTGCCGGCGGTCACGTGCAACTTCTCATAAAAGAGTAGTTGCTTTTGTATGTATATCTTTCAGTGACAATTAATTAAAAATATCTTATTTCGTTTATGTTCTGTGTTAGCTTGTTTTTTTTTCTCTTTGGTTTTTGTTTTTTTTTTTTGTTATTTTTGAGTTATGTTTTCCGCTGCAGATTTATAGATAATGGCGTTACATTTATGGGCCCTAAATGCGACACACACAAACCCAAAGAGCAACAGCCCAAGTCGCAATGCATCCCAAATCGCCGAAACAATCAGCGACTACTTAATTCCCCTCATTCCCGCTCCTCTCCTTCCCCCATTGTTCAACTCAATGAAATAAATTGCAAAACGTTTTTGATTTTTATGTTTCGTTGGCGTTTTTTGTTTTGGCTTTGACAGTCTCACGACAAATGCTTGGAAAGTGCTGCCTCAGCTTCTGACACTTCTTGGACGCCTGGGAATAGGTGTTGAAATCTCTCAATTTGCGCGCAGCCTCAGCAGTTTCTGCTTTCGCAGAATCAAAGCCCGCCGCGCAGCTGTGAAGCAATCGAATCACAGATTCAGCACTCAAAATCCACATATGTATATATAACTATGTATGTAACTATTCATGACCACACCACACATCCATCCAGATCAAGGAGTGAGCGAGAAAGCGCGAGAATATTATGCTGACAGCACCCAAAATGCTAAAGTGGGCTGGGGATGTGTGTCTTACTGCTTAACCAACTAGCAACTAGTCAAGGTGTTCGAAAAATCAAAATGATATTGAAAAACTCGTTGACAGGAATATTAAATACCCTGTCACATTTATCACATGAAACCGAAAAGTTTCTATGATATCCAAAAAGTCATTTACACGAATACCTGGCGCATTTCGATACAGAAATATATAAAGAGCTATTATTAATTGATTTTTTATATATAATAAATATACATACATGTATAATATGCAGAAGGCAAAAGGAATTGAAAAAAGATACACACGATCTTAAAGCAACTTCGCTATAGAATATCTCCAAGTCGTTGTTTAACATTGATATACGTATGTATATAGATGGGTAAGATATTTTCAAAGGTGCTTTCATATGTTCACCATTGTTAATGTGACCTAATTAAGCCATCGCAGTTTCATTGTAAACACCCTTCAAATTAGATATGAAATGTCATTGAGACATTTTTAAAATTATATTTAAATTAAGTTAGCTTATAGTCTACGATCTGAGGCTAATAATAAAGAGCAATAGCAGCGAAGGCAATGCATCAATGGAAATGCTTACAAATTTACATGATTAACTTATTTTCAATTTATTTTTAGAAGGTTGCTTCTTTAATATTCATATATATTTGCAAGACAACAGTAAAACAATTAAATAACATATTCACTAAAAGGAAAACCAATTTTTGAATTTGTATTTTATGGCATTTTTAACTTTTCCCAACACACAACTTTTCTCAACCCCATTAATTTCTGTTGACTTTTCCACCGACGAGTTTTGTGGCAACTTTCTCGAGGAAAACTGATTGAAGAATTGTGTGCATTGTCTGCAGCTATGGAATTTGAACGCTCTGAGCCAAGTTACTGCCGCATCTCTACGGACTGTGGGTCGTCAGTGCGGCGCCTTGGCCCATATAAATTATGCTCGGTTAACAATGGGGATTTGTCGGGGCGTTTGGCCTAGGCTTATTGTGTGCAGTTTTCCGCTTAATAAGGCAAAAGGTGTTTCAATTGCAAAACAATATTGGGCAGTTGGTGATCTGACCCAGTCCCAGCCATAGCCATAGCCACAGCCCCAGCCCCTGACTGACCTATTGTGCTATTGGCAGCAGCAGCAGCAGCAGCAGCAGCAACATAAAGTGACAAAAATTATGAAAGAATTTCGAGTGGACTCGCCAAAGATCAAAGGTGACGCGCCCACTTCAAAATTCGAGAACGACAATTGCGATTTAATTCAATTGAGAGCGCACAAAAGAACAAGGACAGGGGTAGGGACAGGGGCAGGGACAGGGACAGGGACAGGGACAAGAGCGCACAGCGACAGCTGAGAGTACACAGGATAGGACAGGACAGGACAGGACAGTACTGTGACAATAAAGTGATCAATACCAGAAAAATGTTCTTAATTGTCAATGAATGCATACAGCAAACCGAACCGAACCGAACCGAAC